GATAAAAGAGAGGAGCACAGTTATCAAATTCAAAGAAGTGAATTTGATTTTTCTTGACCCCCAGGAAAACAGTGGATGCCAATGGAAGCTTTCCTAGTCAGTTCTATTGAAAGAGGAAGGAAATTGACATGAACAAGTCTTTTTGCCTGGCCATCCCAAACCTCTTCTGGTTCCAGTGACTTTTCTTGCAGACTGCTGTGAGGTAGAACCCGGGGGGAGTTTCAGAGGGTCATGGCTTAACTACAGCTCTGGAAGCAATGGTAGAAGTGGGAACCCTGAAGACCTCTGCAGTGTTGCTCAGAAACCAAATGCAGGGGCTGAGTCACAAGAGTAAAAGATTTGCAACACAGTCTCTGTAGAATGTCCTTCTCCTTTTATTGGCTCTTGTCTTTTGCATAGGAGATTGATATTCTTTACCATATAGAGCCAGTATTACAAACTTTTCTGGACATTTTCAAATTTTCTAAATTGATTGAGGTATGAATCTGTCAGGAGATATGATTACATGTATAAACAAAGTTTAGAAGTAGACTCATTTGTATAATGTGACCTAAATAGTCTCAAGTTGTTTTTTTTTAAAACCCCATAACCAGGGTGCTGTTAGCAATATTCAATGAGAAATTCAATTCCCAAGAAAGCTTCTTGGGACCTGTGTATCCACATTATAATCAGAGGCTTGTTGACTGACTCTGGAATTAGAGTATGGCGGGGTAGATTAGCTTAATGACCAATGAGTTTTATTTTCCAATGGCCACCTGGAAGAAAATTCAGATTTGACATCCTTAGTGATCTTTAGAATGCAAGCATTTTGTTCCATCAATTCAGAAGACATTCATATCCTGCGGACACTAGTTAAGATTTAATTGTTTATAAGAGTTTCTTCTACTCTACTTGACGGGGAAACTACCATCTCCATACAGAACTAAGACCAAGCAGTGCTAAGCCTTTCCTCAAAAGCATACCTTGGACTTGCTCAAAAGCCTAGACAGTTGAGAACTCAGAGTGTTATATCATCATAAAATAGAGTCAAAACTGTTGAATGGCAGCAGCCAGCAAGCAGTAGCATCTGCAGAAGGAATAAAACCAGAAAACCATATAAAGTAGGAGAGATATTTGCCCTGAGTCAGGTTGGCACCAGGACAGAATCAGGAGGGGAGGGAGAGCTGGCAAAGGGATGCAGGAGGAGACAGAAGCATCCACCCATTGATTCATTTGCTCATTCACTCATTCATCACACTCATGATGAATGTATTATATCCACCTGGGATTTTTCTAGACACTGAGCTTTCAAATCAGACATGAACTCCTCCAGGTGCTTGGAACAGTATGAGAAGATATGTGAAGTTAAGATCTGAGTTAAACAGAAAAGGGCTTGGAACAGTGGATTAGGTCAAATGATGGAGAAACTTGAAATGTCAGCCTTGAATACAAGGGTTTAGCTTTGATTCGTAGGAAATGCAGGGGGACGGGCATCAAATTTTAACTAAGGGAATGACATACACTGAGCTGTGTGTAGATCTGTTTGGAGAACAGAACAGAGCTATAGCGCTAACTTGGAGGTGAGTAGGACTGTTGCAATTGTCTAAGTAAATGGTATTTACAATGGAACTGAAAGTAGGGATGCCATTGCTGAAGCAGAGAAGGTAGACTAGGAAAAGGGTAGAACCTTGGGGAACACTTCTACTTGAATGCAACAGGAGACAGAGAAGCCAGAGGATACCTTGGGGAAGTTTCAGGGATAGAAGCCAAAAGAAGAAGTTTCCAGAATATGGAAGCTGATTAGTTATGGTGCTTCTGTGTAACCAAGGAATACAAGGATTGAAAAATGGCTATTTAAATTAGGTGCAGGGAGATCCTTTGTGACTTTCAAGACAGTAGATATACAGATGAGGGAATGAGTGGAATATAAGAATTGGAAACAGTAAATATCTTCTACTCTTTCAAGAATTAGACCACAAAATGAAGGAGAACAGACTGAGAGAAATTAAGATATGTTTATTAGAGATGTTTTGGTCCCAAGTGACAGAAAAACCAACCCAAAGTTTACATAACTAAATAATCTATGGGGACAGTTCAAGCTTCAGGCATGGATAGATTCAGGGTTCAATTAATGCCATTAGTACCTCTTGGCTTTCCTCTGCTTTCCTCTGTACGGTGGATTCATTTTCAGGTTCCTTATGGTGACCAATTAGCTGTAGTAGTTTCAGCCTTTTATCTTCCCAAATTCAAACCCAGTGATATCAAAAGAATAGGCTTTTACCTAGCTGCTTGAGCAAAGTCCTGTGATTAGCTCTGGTTCGGCTTGGGCTGGCTTGGCTGGAGTCAACGGCCCATTGCTGATGGGGATGGAGTTCACTGATTGATCTGAGAGTGGAGATGGAGCCCCAAGGAAGCACACGGGCTAAGATTGGAAAAGGGCATGATTCCTCGGAGGAAAATCAGAGAACTGTTAATAGAGAATGGAGAAAGGATGGCAGGTGGCAAAAAAAATGTCCAAACTCCAAGTATGAAAGAGGATGATAGACAGAGGTTTGGAGCAAAAGGGAAGAAATGCAATCAAGGGACATGAATGGAATTGATTTCAAAAGGAGGAGGCATACTCATTTCTGAGATGGGAGAAAAAGAGAAGATATAATAATAAAAGATAATACATAGACAATTTGACAAGTAGGTAGGGTGAATTGAGGGTACATATGTTAAATAGTTTTAATTTTCAAGTAAAAGCCCAAAGGAGGGAATATGTAGTGTTTTATTGAAAAACTATTTAAATCTATTTACACCAATTACATTACAGCAAGTACATACAAATAGAAACTGAAAATAAAATTCTACTGCTAGCATATCCAAAGCTTTCATTCTTCACATTGTAGACATAATCTTTACAAAGCTTAAGCATGGAGTTTTTTTTACTTTACATACATTCTTCATAACATTTTTTACTTGCACACCATTTCTTACAGTACATGTATCACAATTTTCTTAGCCATTCTACTAAAAAAAGAAGACATTTAGATTGCTTCCATTTTTAAAATTAGAAATAATGCTACAGTTATGATATACTTAGCTGTTTATTTTTCCTTTAGATATTTCTGTAGCAAAGCTCCCAGAAGTGGGGTGACTGTGTTAAAGGAAATGAGCATCTTGTGTCTCCTAAGTGTGTTCAAAATCACCTTTCATAAGGTACCCACAGTTGTCAATGCCCCTGGCCATATATGAAAGTACTGGTTTCATCACACGCCGAGTATTTTAGATATTTTATCCCATCAATATCTTCAAGATAACTAACATAACATGCTGAACACTTACTACTACCAGGATGGGTCTAAACACTTTATTCATGTTAATTCATTTAATTTTCACAACAACCTTATGAGGGAAAAATTTATTATGATCCCTGTTTTTATAAATCAGGAAACTAAGATACAAAGAGATTAAGTAAACTGGTCAAGGTCCACAAGGAGGAAGTGGTAGAAGTAATATTTGAACCATGAGAATCTGAATATGGAAACTATGTGCCTCAAACACTGGGCTGTATTGCCTTGTGATAGTTTTTAATTAACATTTCCTCAACTGTTGTTAATAACTCATATACATTTGTGTGAGAATTCCGTCATGTCCTTCTCTGGAAGATTCTCGATGGTTCTGCCCCAGGGTAGAGGTAATAGTGGGATAATTCTTATGGATTTGGACACCTCGGGTGGTCTGAGTGGGGAGATTTATTATAAGTTATGCAATTTTTTTTACCCCTTGCTAGTATGTAACATTCAGAAACTAAAATTTACATTGCTAAGTATTAAAAATAAATGCAGTCTTTTCATCCACTCATGATAACCCAGGCCTTTTGGGGGACTCTGATGGTTCTATCATCTAATTCAACCCAGCTGGTTACTATGAAAACATACCTTTTGGTTTTTCTTGAACATCTGAAATGTAGGTATTGCTTTGATGTGACAACTTTCAGCCAACTCCTGGGAAAGAAAAGAAATGGCATGAAGTCACAGTTTTGGTGTCCTCTCTCTGTACTAAGCACGTTACTTGATAACTTCTCAGAAGGTATGTCTGAAAGTCCAGGGATGCCTGACACTTTACAGATTCTCCCGATGAGAACTTTTCTAACATATTCTCAAAGCCTCCAGGAAAGTCACAACAGAAAGTGGCTATTCCAGCATTCCTGGGCCTTTTCATCCCAGAACTCCAGGAGATAGGTGAGAGATGGAGCCCACAACAGAATGGTTGCTTAATGGCTAAATGAGCTCTATTTAAAGTACCTTGTGAAATATTGCAGAGAGGCCCCAGTGGAACCCAACACGGAAAGAGCCCATTGAAAAAGTAGGAAAGAGTAAATAAGTCTTTATAACTCAACCTTGAGACATGGGATGATATACTGGTCCAGCATTTTAAATAAGGCTTACATGTTTCTCTCTTTTAAACTCTATAATTTCTTTGCTGCCCATCTTTATTTGTGAGAGATTTGGAGCCAAAGGACAAGAAAATATGCCAGAATCCCAATCGCTTTAATCTATTCCAAACTGGCTCTAAATGGTAGTTGCTGTTTATTTTGTTGAGGAGTCAAAAGAAAATTAGCCACCCACAGGATCCACAGAATTGGACATCTCTCTCTAATATACCTATCATTTTATTGGCATTAGTCTCTTTTCCTGCCACCCAACACACACATACAAAATTAGAATTTTCATAACCACAGTAATGACAACTAATAAACAAATTACTATTAGACAAGTGTGCATTTTATTTCACCTTAAAAGACAAAGAGCTATGATCAAAAGCCAGACAATAACACAAGTGGGCGAGGGTGTGGAGAAATCAGAACTCTTGTACATTGCCAATGAGAATGTAAAATGATGCAGCTGCTTTGGAAAGCAGTCTCTCAGTTTCTCAAAAAGCTAAACATAGAGTTATCATATGATCCAACAATTACACTTTTAGATATGTACCCAAGAGAAATGAAAATTTTTGTTCACACATAAACTCATACACTAATGTTTATACCAATAATAGCCAAATAGTACAAACAACTCAATGACCATCAATGGATGAATGGATAAATAAAAGGTGGTCTATCCCTACAATGGAATAATATTCACGATAAGAAGGAATAAAGTACTGATACATTCCATAATATGGATGAACCTTGAAAACTTATGCTAAGCGAAAGAAGCCAGTTACTGAAGACCACATATTCTATGATTCCCTTTAAATGAAATGTTCAGAATAAGCAAATCTATAGACAGACTGTAGATTTGTGGTTGCCTAGGGTTGGAGGTAGGGGATGGAGGGAATTGGGTGTGACTGCTAAAGGGTACAGTGTTTCTTTCTGGAGTGATGAAAATGTTCTCAAATTGATGTGATGGTTGCACAACTCTGTGAATATGAAAAAAGATAAAGACCATAGTGACCCTAGCTGTGTTCATAGAATATGATTCTGTATTCATAGTATATGATTCGGCTTAAAGGGAAGTTTACAATGTCATACTTTAATGAAGCTTGAAGGAAATGAAGAAATGGAACTTCTGTTATGCTCTGGGGACCATGTCATATATTTAATGTATTTTATCTCATTTTATCTTCTGTTAAGTATTAATATTATTGCTCTGTCTTACCGCTGAAGACACTGAACTTTATAGAGGTTAAATGATAATAGGCCACAAAAGCATTAAAAGGCAGAATAGTAAATAACACTTTTTTTTTCATTCTAAAGCTTAAATTCAATCTAATGTATGCACGGACCCCTTGTTATTGTTACTTTTCCTCATTATAAATTAACAAATGTTAGGAAGAATAATTTTGTAGAGACATTGTGTGTGTTATTACGACACATTTTGATTGAGAATATGAGGCTGATTATTTTTGGGAGGGTGGGATGAGGAAGGATGGCGCTAGGGACACGAGGGAGGGATTTCTGGGAATTTCTTGTGATGTTTTTAAAAAACACAAGAAGCGTAAGATACAGTAAGAGGAAAGCAAGGTTTACTGAAATGTCTGTAATGCATTGAGTTGAGTTAGGTTTTAGAAATTAATTAATAATCTATCACAGGGATGCAAATCCTGGTATTGCCTGCCTAGAGCAACTCTGCTGACGCGGATGCTGGGACGGAGACCAGAGTGAATGGTGGAGAATGCTGGGATTGATTAGTGAGGTCTGCCGAGCGTGGGCGAGGAGAGGGCTGGCAGGGGAGCCACACACTTGCTAACCTTTTTTTTTTTTTTTCCTCTTAAGTAATACAAAATATACAAGAGCATTATGAGGGAGCTTACTACAGCTTATCAGAAAAAATTGTGAACTTCTACTTGATTTTCAATTGATTAGGTAATCCCTGAGACGGTGCTACTCAATTACGTTGTGTTTAGATTTTAAGTATCTACGCAGAGGATTGAAGATTCTTACCGGAGAAGCATCCACATCCACATTAGCAAAAAACACATTTTGGTATTGCAGAGACATTGCCTTCAAAATAAAAGAATAAAAATTCCCTGTTAGTTTGGTGTTAATATTAAAATATGCACTAAAGAAGTGTCTTTTGGCAAAAACAAGAAAGAAACAAAAATTTGTTAAAGAGAACATGAACTAAAATAAAGTCCTTATCCCCCCAATGGATGCACCTCTTGGCCAGGAGGACTCCAGAGAAACCTTAAAACTGAGTTCCCAGCCATGATGGGATAGGAAGTCACACAGGCCTCGTTATAACCCCTCCTTTGCTTTTTTTCTTAAGAGCTAAACAGAAACCAGTCTCATGATCTACTCCTCCCTATTGGCAGTTTCTGCACTACAACTAACCAGCATTCTTTCCTATTAAGAGACCACCCACCACGGAGCGGTTTTTACTAGTCTATGGAGTATGTGCAGAGAGGGTTTTCATGTCCTCTGCTTCACCTTTAGACACCGAGGGCTGCCATTTTCTGACCATGGACCCCATGAAGGAGCATAAAGATTGATAGTGCATGTGTATGTTTCTTCTTTCATAAATGTTCATGACTCTTTCCATTCCTTCTTAAATAGGTATATATGGCCACTCTGCTCAGCATAAATTCCTGTTCCCATTGTCCTTCCCTCTGATCACCGTTTCTGACTTCTGGCCAGAGGCTCTGCTTCCCAGCCTGTTGGGATGGCCACCTACAGGCTGCAAACTTTTATGAGAAATAAAGCTCTCTTTCCAAATTTATGAATCTCATCATTTTCTTCACTGAATAAGAGCTAAGCATCATTCTGGCATTCACTACTGCCTAGAACTTGCAGCACCAAGTCCAATGCCAGACAGTGCCAAGGTCAGATGGTGCAAGGATCAGTGACAGAACCAGGGTCAAAGAACCAAATACAATTAGAGTTGTAGCTTAGAAAATGACACAGGCAAAAAAAAAAAGAAAAAAAATTATGAAATATGTGGTAAATCCACACATACTCAGTGGGGTGGCAGGAGGGATAGTAGCTTTCTCCTGGGAGAGGAGTTGGGAGAGTCTATCTTCAGTGGTCTTCATGATAGCGTTCTCTTGCCAGGCATTTTGAGAGGCAGTGGTGCTGCTGGTGGTAGAATTCTGCTTGAGGTGATATCGACCTCACCATGCTGACCATTAGCCTAATTGCTTTCCACCTCTATTGCCATCCTCCATGCTCTACTACATATTAAAACTGGATTTTCCGGACTCTTTTGCCAGCTAACTTCCAGTTAGGTTCTGCCAAGAGGAAGCATTTGCAGGAAATGGAAAGTGGGAGGAGGGGAGAAGTAATTCTCTTTGCTTCTGTTTTGTTCTGGAATCATCTTTGGCAGTGGCAGTGAGAGTGGTACTGGTAATGCCTCTGGGGGAAGGGCATGTAGCATTATCAGTAGCAACAGTGGCCTATAAATGTCAACTCCTGGGTTTCTTTTCAGATAGCCATGTTCACACCTTAAGGACATTTGATAGCATCTTTATTTGTTTGCTTAAATCCTATCTCAAGCATTTCCAGTAGCCTATTTCAAATGGGACCTCTCTCTGATGGTGGTGTGAGGCATCCACAGCTTGACCAAATGGAGGCAAAAACAGACGGAGTGTCACTGGGGGATTCTGCCATGGAGAAGCAGGAAGAAGCATGGCATGGAGTGTTCAGGCGGGTATGTGCAGAGTGCCGCTGTAGGAAATTCCCCCAGTTGGTTTGTCCATGGATAGTGACTGCAGTGGTAGCTCTTTCTTCAGTGGTCCATCAAGATGGAGAAATTGGGGAAAAACTCTTGGATAATAGACACGAAATTCTTTGGAGTTTTGGAGTACTTTTCAGATTAAGATGATGTTGTTTTTGACTGATAGCATCTCCATGCCAGGCAGGAAAATGATGTTGTCCAAGAATTCTGGAGCACTTGACTTACACTTTTCCAGTCTGAAGATAAATGGATGCTCCACAGTAGGAATCGTGGGTATGGGTTTGACCATATGGACATCTAATCTCCAGAATCAGGTTCTATTTATGAAGTTTTCAGAGTCTCCCAAGTCTGTCAGGAAGTGTACAAGGACATGATGTTTGTCATTTTTGCATCAAGTAGTAGCTAGAAGACATGGTACAGATATGAGCTCCTTGCTAGGTGGGATTCCTTTATGGACATTGCTTCCCCCTTTCTATCCATGTCCATCCACCTAGGACCCCTACCCTCTTCCCTAAAAATCAGCACCACCACCAGCAACTCTTCTTTCTGCTCTGTTCTTTCTCATATATAATCTGTTGCATTTGGTCATCTATTCTGTTGATCTTAACTCTAAAATGTTTCCTGAATTCAATTTTTCCTTTTTCTCTAAAAGCCACTGCCCTAGTTTTGGAAAACCTATCATTGAGACTGTCATTCACCTTGGGTTACCTGCCTTTGGTCTTTCCAAATCATTCTTGTATAGCTGCCAATATATTTTCTAAAATGCACATTTGATCATGATAAAATCCTCCTTAAAATTGTTCTATTTTGACCCACAAAAATGCATTAAGTTATAGCACGAAGTTCTTCTTGACCTGGCCTCAGCTTCCATTTTTCGCCACTTCCATTGTGTACATTGTATGTTAGACTCATAGACTACTTGCCCTCTCCTGATCACATCACACAATTTCCTGACAAATTTATAACCTCTCCTTTTCCAGAAATGCTCTTTTCAGAATTCTTTGCTCACCAATCCTCCTAGCCCAGGGTCAGCAAACTGTGATCAGTGGAATAAATTCTGCTCTCCACCTGTTCTTGTAAATAAAGTTTTATTGGAACACAGTTTGCCCATTTGTCTTTGTGTTGACATTGCCTTTTGCAATACAATAGCAAAGTTGAGTAGTTGTGACAGAGACAGTATGGCCTGCAAAACTGAAAATATTTACTATCTTGTTTTTTATGGGAGAAGTTTACTGACTCCTGCTCTTAGTCGTGAAGGTCCAGATCAAATGAGACTGTGATGGTTATTTAAGATTTAAAGTTTCAAATCACTTCTTAAAACCCATATTTAATTATGATTCACTTTTCTTTTTGTTGTTGCAATACATCCTTTAGCAATTTCTCTGGAAAGAACTCGCGGATACTAAACTTTTAGTTTTTGTGTATCTGAAAATGTCTTGAATCTTCTTCCTCCCTTGAATAATGGTTTAGCTAACCAACTTCCATTCCACCTCTCTGTAGAGCCTGGAAAGGGAAAAAAGTGAAGATTCCTTGGGCTCTCTTGCAGCTAGAGTTCTGGATGCAAATTTGGTTTTACCAATGAGATGTGTGTTTAGAAGTTTTGGGCCATATGAGGTGGCTCATGCCTGTAATCCTAGCACTCTGGGAGGCTTAGGTGGGAGGATTACTTGAGCTCAGGAGTTCGAGACCAACCCGAGCAACAGCGAGACCCCATCTCTATTAAAAATAGAAAAATTACCCAGGCGCAGTGGCTTGAGCCTATAGTCCCAGGTACT